AATTATATTGATATGTTCATTTTTGAAAAAGTTACGGCAGTTTTTAGTAAAAAAAATTGAAAAAATTTCGAAAATTAGCGATTTTTAAATTTGTAATTTTTTTGGAGGTTTCCCCCATTTACGGGGAACGAGGGAAATTTTTTCAATTTTGAAGGGTAATGTCTTCGACTAGATACAATTTGTGATCTTTTGACGTATCGTTGAAAGAAATCCGTTCAGTGAGAGCTGAGAAAAAGTGGTAACAGACACAAAAAAAAAAAAAACACATCATAGTAAAACCAATACCTTCTCAGCTTCGCATCGAAGCTAAAATCAGCTAAGGATAGAAAAAGAAAACGCTAATATGCAGGCATTGGCATTCCTTCTACTTCAGGTATGGCCATCAAAAGTACTAATATTAAAAAAAAACCATTTATTCTTAAGAGTATCGAAGCGTGAACAGTGAGGGTATGATGTATCATTCTATCCAATCGACTACAGTTCTTGACCTACAAATTTTATATTTAAGTCATATAAATAAAAATATAAGCTTTTATAAAAGGACAAAAATTATTATAATATTGTATTGTAATATTTTAGCGGAGTTTGATGTTGCCTATTCTGGAAATTATTCATCTGATTCACAAATTGATTGCATCAAAAAAGAAATAGTTCAAGAACAAGAAATAAATATCTATGAAATTCCCACAAAAAGGCCCCGCAAAGAATTATTAACCTCTCGACTATCTGCAGCTTTGGATAGATGTAACGTTAGTGGGCGAGATCGTATTCATTTAATAACGACTTTTTTGGATGCTGTATCTCTAGATCCATCGTCATATGTCTTAAATCGGACATCAATTGCAAAACAACGGAAACAATTTCGAAAAAAAAGTTACATAAGAATTGAAGAAAAATTTTCTCAGCTTAATGACAAAATAGTAACAATCCATTGGAACACTAAATTATTACATGATATAAGTGGCAAACCAGTCGAAAGATTGGCTGTAATTGCTACAGGTGCTGGTACTGAACAATTTTTAGGTATTCCAGAAATACCTTCTGCTACCGGACTTGAAATGGCTTCAGCTGTATATGAAACGTTGGAAAGTTAGAACTCAATAAAAAACGTCCAAGCAATTGGATTTGATACTACAGCGTCTAATACTGGCAGGATAAAAGAAGCATGCATGGTATTAGAACGAAAATTAGAAAGGGATTTATTATATTTTGGCTACTGACATCACGTTTCAGAAATAGTATTAGCAGCTGTATTTGGGAAATCTAAATTTTCAATTTCTGATATCCCACTAATTAAGAGGGTCCAAGCTAATGGTCCCAAGTAAATACAATTAATTTTGATCCAGGCATAAATAGTTCTGAAATAAGAAGTATTGTAGATGACAACTTAAATAATATTTTGAAAAATTATAATATTGCTGTTAATAAAAAATATCCTCATGCAGACTATCGTGAGTTTATTGATCTTGCAATCATTTGTTTTGGGAGGCATACCCCCCGAAGGTATACAATTTAAGAAACTAGGAGCCTATCACATGGCAAGATAGAAGGCTAAAGATATATATGCATTAAACATTTATTTATTTCGTACTGAGTTCAATTTAACTAAAAATAAAAAAAAATCATTAACTCTATTTACATGTTATTTACATATTTAAAATGCTACATTATATATTGGATTTATGCACCAGAGGCAATATGTGCACCATTAAAAGATATTCAGTTTTTACGAAAATTGTATCCATATAAAGATATTGACCAAAATATCTCTGAGATAGCTATTGGAAAGTTAGTCAATCATTTATACTATTTAACAAAAGAATGTGTAGCTTTTTCATTGTCTGATGATAGTATAAGTGTTGATACTAAAATCAAAATGGTAAAACAAATGACAACACTTGTTGAAATTAACGAAGACAATAAAGACTACCAAATAAAAAATCTGTCTTTAAATTTAAATCAGATACCATTATTTTTATAAAAATGTGTTGATGATGTATTAATGTCCCTGTTTAATGGATATTCAAAGAATATTTTTTAACGATACAAAATTAAACTTTTTTTACATATACACCCATCTCAATGGTCAAGCTCTCGCGAATACCAACAAGGTAAACAAATTATTAAGGAAGCTAAAAGTAGTAAATAATTTATCTGAGAGGCATAAAACTTATACAAGATTTCAATAAAAGTATAACAAGAAATGAATCACAAAAACAGTTTTTGTTACAAGTAAATATATATATTTTTTTAAAAGGTTGCTTAAAATTATTTTTAACAATATTTTTTTTAGGTGGTACAAGATTATAGAACTCAATACTCTCAGGCGACAAAAAATGTTTTGAAGCAGGAGTATAATAAATAAAATCGTTGATTTCAATAGTAAATCATATAGAATATATACATATAAATATAACCGCACTTTTATTATAATTATTTTTTTTTTAAGTGTTTTGTAAAATTATTGGACAATTATTTTTAATAATTTTATCAATACTTCAAAAACTATCAGTTTACGCGAAATTATCTAATAACTTTTTTTATTTAAAATATTATTTTAAACAAATTTTATGTTTAGAATTTTTTTAGTAATGCGAAAATTAAACTAGATAATTATAAAAAACCAAATAGTTGGAAATTTTCATAAATAATGTGTATTGACGAGTTTTATTATTTTAACCAAAAAGTATTAACTAAACGCGAAATTGTAAAAAGAGCTTTTTTATAGAAAATTACAATAGCTACAATATTATATGTAATAATATGTTTCGTAAAACTAAGTCTATAGTCTAAAAATGTAAAACACTGGCATTTTTCTTATTTTTCCAAAACTTTGAACTTTACGTGCGCTCAGTGAATCAATTAGTATAAAGGTCAAATTTGTTAGAGATTATCTTTAAACATAAAAGAACAAATTTACGACCGGCGCTCCTGAAATTTCACACAAAAATTTTCCTTCATATATAAATAGCGGCCACCCTAAGTAACATGTTACCAAAAAAATGGAACATTATAGACAGGTAGTAGCACACACAAATAGAGTTAAAAAATTAATAAATTACAAAGTAATATAATTTAATTTTATAGTTGAAACCAATTATCATATCAAACCTAATTCGACAATAAATAGAATAAAAATTAGAAATGAATAATTTTAATTGTCTAAATGGAGAAAGCTGGTTAGGCAACTTTTTATTTGATAAAGGTGATTTTTTTTTTAATTTTGAGGGAAATATCTTTAACTAGATATTAGTTTTGATCAAAAATTTGATCACAAAAAGTTCAAAAAATGGGTCAAGTAAGAGCTCAAAAAATAAATGACAGCCACAAAAATAACTACATTGTAATATAAATTTAGTATGAATAAGATATTTCTTTTCACGAGGGGAGACTACAGTGATGAAGTCTTTGATATTTATGAAAGTTATTTAATTTAAATAAGACAAAAATCAAATGAGTTTAACGTTTTTTCTAACTCAAAAAAAATTAAAAAAAATTCATTGACACAGGCTAGAGTGGTTGGAACTTCGTACCACAAGCGTGAATGACAAAAGTGTTACCAACTCGGCTACTATAAGTCACATTCGTCCGACGATAACAATTTAATGGCAATTTAAGCTAGATTACATTTCAAAGTTATTATTCTCAACTTAAAAGAAGCAAAAAAAAATTAAATAAGTGTTGAACTTTATATTACATGTCAATTAGATTTATATAATATTCATGAAAATTAGTGTAATTCCCTTATAATGTATTTTAAAATACAATACCAAGAAATTTAACACAAAAATAGCATATTTTTGAATATGGTAACGATTTTGCCTTGAAGACGTTCTATATCTCGAAATTTTTTTTATTTAGTAAAGTATATTACATACGCTTTAATTTAAGATATATATAAAAGTGTCAATATTTTCGGAACATTTACAAAAATTAAGTTGAAAAATTTTAACTCGTGTGCAAAAATTGTTATTTTGAATCTCCTTTTATAGGCAGATTAAGTGTCAGATTTTCAAAAAATGTATATCAAATGTAAGAGATATATTTAAGGTTTCAATGTAAAAAAAATTTTTTTGGCTTGTTCATTTTTTAAAAAGTAATGGCAGTTTTAAGTATCTATATATTGAAATGTTAAACGATGGTTTTTATATAAAAATTATATTTATCGTCAAATTCGACGGCCATTTTTTTTTTTTTTTTTTGAACTTATAGAATTTATCATAAACTTTAATTTGACATATATTCGGAATATTTCGGGAACATTATGAAATGTTATGTTGAAAAAGTTCTACTTTTTACTCGTAATTTTAAAGGTTTAAACCCCCATGTATAAAGGAAAATGGTTCGATTTAAAAAAACCTATGTCGGCTAAAGAGTGTGTATAAAGTATTTATCAATATATATTAATCCATACATTTTTCAACCATTTACACTTAGAAGATAAGTTGCCGGACAATATTTTTTTTTAACTTAAGTACATAACATAATCTTTATTTTAACATATGTTTGAAGCTCGGAGTATTTTCGGAACATTTTCAAAATTTAAGTTGAAAAAGATAAATTTTTGTGCAGGAGTCGTTATTTTGAATCCTTCCCTGTGGTTAGGTAAAGGGTTAAATGTTCACAAAAATATAACAAATGATAGAAAAATTTCTAAGGCATCAATATAAAAAAGTTATTTAGATTTGTTCATACTTCAATAAGTTATGGCAATTTTTAGAAAAAAAAGTTTAAAAAATGTCGAAATTTACCAATTTTAAAAATTGTAATTTTTTGGAGATTTCTGTCACTTATGGGGAACGAAGGATTTTTTTTCAATTTTTAAGGGTAATCTCTTCAACTGCATCTAGTTTGTAATATTTTATTATATCGTTGAGAAAAATCAGTCCAGTGCGAGCTGAGAAAAATTAGTGACAGACACAAAAAAAAAAGAAACACATCATGGTAAAATTAATACCTTCTTAGCATCGCATCGAAGCTAAAATAATTAAACAAGAAATACTCAAATAGAAGTATATTTATAGATCTTTACATATAAATAATGTAATACATTTCATTTTAATTGTCTTATGATATCTGAAAAAAATATAAGATTTATTAATTATTTTAATTAATATTTCTTTTGGGTTTATACAAATAAAACTTAAATGTCTTTATAAAAGCAAAATAATTTTGATTTTCTACGCGATAATCAAGAACTGGAACCATAATTTTTTATAGGTTTTATATTATAAATATAAGTTTCGAAACTAAGATGAGAATTAATCTAAGTAGTAATGTAATTTTTTTTTTCTGGAAAAACTAAGTTTCCTAAATTGAGATTTTTAAGTCATGTAACAGTGAGATGCCCTTTGATGAAAAACATAATTTATTTTCGTCTTATATAGGATATACAAATATATTAAGATGTATTTTGAAAATACAAAAAATTCTTATGCAAATACCATAATAAAGAAAATTCGTAATTTCGTATCTAAGATCGTATCTACTGTTATGATTAAAATTATTCTTCAGGGAGAAAATAAAAAATAAAATAGTGACCATTAAAAATGCTATATAGTACCCTCATTTTCATTGAGTATATGGTCGATAAATAACCTTGTATATACAATGTATATTATACATGGTGATTTGTTTTTCTGAAGAGCAAAAATAAAATTATATATTCCTGTTCCATTAGTGAGAAAACAAAAAAATCACTTCAATATTTGTAAAATGAAATAATTTTTTATCAAAAAAAATATATTACTTGATACTATTGCTAATAGACTATTAAATTTAACCATAAATTAAATTTGAACGAAAATGGACTATTACCGTTTTTCCCCTGTACTCTTCATATCCGAAACGATGAAATCTAAATAGCTATTACAATTTTTACGGCTATCATTATAAAAAAATACATAGAACTTTTACATAACTTTTTTGGAAGAAATATTTAAAATACATATTAAAATTTCATTAATTATTATTATAATTAAATTAAGTACTTTATTTTTTTTTTTTTTCGAGAAATTAAATTTAATAGAAGATCTAGGCATTTATCTTTGAATATATTTTTTTTTAATGTCTAACTTTTATTTTGGTTGTAAAGTTGTTAGACTAAAACAAAAGTATTATTCATAATTTAAAAATTACCATCATAATTAACATTATTATTATCTTTTATTGACAATTTTTTTCGAATCTCGTTTTGTATTTCTTTATTTAAACTAAAGTGTCCAAATATTTCAAATATTTTTTCCACTGGAATATATCCATTTATATTTTTGAACAATTGAAGTTGCGTAGCTATTCTATTTACGTAATTGATATGATTTTCATCAAAATTTTTCATTAATTCATCTATTGAGTATTTAGTATTTTCTAATAAAACATAAATTAAACATGCATTAGTACAATTAAATGAGTTTCTCTTAATTGCTCATTGTCTGAAGATTGTAAGGTATTAGTTTTAAGAATGAATATTATTTGCGTTTTCATTACATCTATAACTTTTTTATACGATTTTAAAAAAACTTTAAATAATAGTTATTATCAAAAATTTAATAATATTTATTAGAATGTGAATGTATTTTATAAAAATGTACTTTAACGGATAAGTTTAATACATTTAGATATCTTTTTGTAGTTTACAATTCCGCGCCCAACGTTCAAAATGTATGAGTTTTAAGTTATTAAAAAGTTTTAATTATGTATTATAAATTTATTAAAATATAGTCATAGTATGCCATAAAAAAGTTATAAAATATGATTTACATATTTCCTTAAAAACTAATAAAATATTTTCAATTTATGATAAAACTTATGACATTTTTTTTTTCCAAAATATACTTTTAGGTACGAAAAAACAATATTACATTCACATTTTTTAATCATACTTTTTAGTTTTCTTTCTCATCATTTTTAAATTTTACGACTTATAATTAAATAAACAAATTTTTCAATTCGGGATAAATATTTGGCTATTGAACATTTTCAAATTTTTTTTTATTCAACTAATACTTTTTTTATAGTAAAATTGGAGAAAATTTTGAAAGTATATATATTTTTAGTCATTAATCAATTATATATTGAAATATGAAAATTAGGCTGAATATTTTCAATCAATCATATATGCGAAATATAAAAACAAAAAAATTTTCTATAAATTTAGTGATTGTTAATATTTTTTACTTTCGCTGAATTGCAAAAAGTCAATAAATATATGTAGAGAACATTAGAGTTAGTTTATACACTTTTTACATTTTATGCTCTCGTTTAGTGATGTAAAATTACAATGATAATCTTTTTTGAGAATATACTTTAAAACGAGAATGTTCTTTTTAACTTGTATTCATTATATTCTACATTATTATAAAATGGTCCTAAAATGGCCAACAAGTATAAAATTGATCACTTCCTCTTTAGCTTTAAATAATTAAATCAAACGAAAATAGGGATACAATCTACTTAGAATAAAAGTTAACCAATTAATCAATTTTTGTTTTAGAGTATAAAAATACTTTAGAGTTATATTTAGAGGCAATCAATTTTATATTTGACCTCCAAATTATTATACGGTAATTATATAAAATGTTTTTCGACTGAGAATGTTTCGATGATATTTAAACTGGAGCATTTATTTGGGAGTGTTATTATTTTTAGTCTTTGAACGACGAATAAAACATAAAGATACGATAGAAATGCAAAAACATTAATAAGTCATAGAAATGTAAAAACAAAAAGCCATAGAATCATTTTTTGACACAAATATTTTCTAAAGAATTTGTGATGTTTTTGTTATTATGGTACTATCAATCAAAAAAAAAATAATTATTATTTTTCAATCATAAATTTTCAATAAATAGTTTTTGAGTTCGATTAAATATTATACTACTAAGTAAATAATTACTTCATTTTTTTTAGTTATATTCTCCTGTAATTATCTGCAGAAGAATATTCATCTTACCGAGAATATTTTTTCGTTATATCACTACTATCGTATCTATAATTTAGATTAGTGTGTCATGAAACTTCACAGATAACTTTAAAAATATATATGCTTTAAAAATATAAAAATTTTTTTTGTCTGAATTATTGACTTCATTTAGTCTACAAATGAAAACTAGTTAAAAATAGTTTTTGTGTCAATATGCCTCAGCAACGAGGTAAATTTTCCGTTAACTATATATTTACAATTGTGAATTTAGTAATGTGTTTATTAAAGTACAAAACTATTAACTACCTGGAGGCCAATTCTGGAAAAACAGTAAATTATAAATATAAAACATAATACAGTACAAAAAGTATAAAATCTAAGCCTTATCCAAATGGCTGTAGGGCATAGCTAATTACCCAGATAGCAAAATGTCAATATTATGGTATTATAAAAAAACTACTATTATAATGACTAAGAATACTATAATATTATGAATTAATTGCAAACGCTTAAGAAATAAAACATTAACATTATATTATTTGTCAAGAGCTTCATTACTATTAAAACATAATTTTTAAAATGTTTTTTTTAAAAATACTTTTATAACCTTTTAATATCCTTTAATAACGATTATTTTATTATTATACTATAAAAAAATAATATTATAAATTTGATACTTTATAGTCATAATAATGTTATTTTACTAAATAAATAATCTTTATAGAATGGGGGCTTTTACTTGCATTCTTAAACGTTTCGATTTTCTTAATAATTTTTTGATCTAGTTTATAAGAAATATATTATAATTATAGGAAAATAGTGTCTATATATTTTGTTAATGAATATAAACAGTCCATTACATTATACAATTAAATCAAATAGTATTTTAAATTCTCCATTATGTCTTCATTATACTACAATGAACAAGAATAACACAAATATATATATTATTGATAAAAATAGTAGCTAGTTAGAGGTTAATTTAAAAACACCAAGGCAAAAATAAGCATTTTTCAATATTAAAATTTTTTTAGAAGATTAAAAAAATAGACTATAAAATTCATCATAAGCATAAATATTATAATTGAATTTTTTTTCTGAATAAATGACTTCCAATATATAACAGTGTCTTAAAATGTTTATTATAGTGTTAGTATGGAGAGCCTTCATTTTTCATTTATCTATGGTTAATAAACATACAATATGATAATTAATTATTATTAAAATGGTCGAATAAATTAAAAAAAAAATTCATATCACTAGAAAATTTACTATACTGGTTTAATCATTATAATTCCTTAAATAATGAAAATTTTATTCTTTTCCAAAAAATATAATAATATTTTATGCTATTGGGAGAAACTTGCTAAAAAGAAAAGCTGTTAATATAACCATAAAGTTATGAAATATTCTTAATATACATGTTCTTCGATCAACAAAAAAAAATTATTGTGTTGAATGAATATTTAAATGTTAAAAGTGTTTTTATATTACACAATACACCTTTACCTAGTAATACATCAGTTGAACAGTTATTCGTTGTAAGCAATGCATCACTACATAGGATATTAGGAAAAATAGTCTTAATAAATACAATTTCACTAACTTATAGTAATAATTAATAATAAGTAAACCAATATTATTACATTACAAAATTGCTATCTGGGTAATGTTGTATATTTGTATTATTATATCTATTTGTGTTTGTTGTCGTTGTGTCGTGTGTGTTGATTTTATTATTTGAGAAATACCAGTTAGTTATCGTTGCCCACTAAATGAATACTGTATTCGCGAATAATAATAATTTAAATGTTTATGAGAAATATTCTTTAATTTTTTATGTATTTAATATATTTATAATAATTTTTAATAATTATAAAAAAACATGAGAAATTAATAAAAATATAATTATTTTAATTATTAAATAAAGTAGCTAAATTTATATAACCTAAAGGACCATAGGTTTTCATATCTAAGTCGTCATTTATAAATTATAGATATACTCACTTTATTAATTACATTAATTAACTAACAAATAAATAATAGACAAAAATTTGTTATAATTACGTTTTATTCTGTAATTTTCTTCAGGCATGTTCGCACTGATATCTTTTCCAACTTCATTTCGATAAACTTCAACTAAGTCTTTAAAAAAAATCTGATTGTCATTATTTTTACCTGCTAATAATAACTTTGATTTTACTCGCGTCCGTAAATTTTGAAAAACACTCACATTATCGTTTTTCTAAAAAAATAAACTGTTAATTTTACTATAATTCCATATGAATTCATATAAAAATTGTAAACAAAAAATTAGTTGTTCTGTTAAATAAATAAAGTTTTTATTTTTCTGTAATTTTTTTATCTTTCATAGTTAGTGTAATAATTTGATTTTATAAATTATAACATAAAAACTTTCCAAAAAAAATACTAATTACCGGTATTTCAACTTGTTCTTTTGGAGAATCTTCAGTTTTTGATGGTCCAGAATTAAAACTACTCGGTACACATAAAGTTGCTATAATGCAACATGCAAACAGTAATATTTTAAAATGAATATTCATCATTTAATATATTCGTTTCAAATTTAATTAATTTTAAACAGGAAAACAGTTGTTTATGTACTAATGATAAAATGAAATTTTTTAGTTTTTTATACAAAAAATGTTTAGCTATACGGAATATTTTAACTCTTATTTACTTAAGTTTAATATTTTAAGGTAAAAAATAATTTATCTGTTAATGTTATAATTAAGTTTTAATAATAAGTGGTGAACAATATGTTTAGCTGTATCATTATATTATTGTAAGATAGTTAAAAATAAAATAAAAAGTCCACATTTTTTTTTTATTATGACTAGTTGAAGACATTACCCTCAATAATTGAAACAATTTTCCTCGTTCTCCACAAATGGATCATGAGTCATAAATTATTTTCATATGCAAATTTCATATAAATCATCGGCTTAAGCGTTACGAAACACATTAGTAATTTTTTTTCCAACTAACAAAAAACTACTAAAAAGATGACTTATGAAAATAAGATTATTATTAATTTTCAGAATTTTTTTCATAATTACATGTTTTCGTTAATAACACACAAAATTAACTTAATAACAGTTTTACAACTATGTAGTGTTGTAAAATTGCTATGTATTTAATGCAGGCAAATTTTTATAAAGAATAACTCTTATATCTTATATAGGTCTCAACTTTATTTTTTTAATGACAGCATAAATATTTAACTAACTTATAAAGTAGAAAACGATCAAACTTAGAAAATACTTGGTTATGCTTACGACTAGTATTTCCAATATTATAACTATTTTAAAATACATACATTTTAAAAATAAAACATATTTATCCCTAGGCAAAGAGAGACTGAGAAATGTCTAATGATATATATTTGAAAGTTACTTACAATTACTTAAAATTAAATTTAGAGATGATTAAATAGAAAAATACAGTAAGTTTAATAAAAATTTCCAAGTTTTCCAAAACTGTCCAAAAAATATTACCAGCCATAAATTCTTGGAAATGTGACTACACTATCTTCAACAAAATGACCTTGTTCCGCCCATTTTACTTTGCTTATTCAGAATTTTAATATGATAACGTTACATTTCTTACTAAGATTTTATAATATTTCACAAATTTTGTATTATTGAGTGAGGTGCGCAACGTTGAAGAATTTTTACTTATGCTTCACGATAAATATAGATTTTCCCTGAATAACTATCCCGCTCCCTACTTTTTCTAAATCTTTAAAGAATCAAAAATTCATGTTACAAAATAATGGAATACTAAACAATTAATGAAAAGTTTTTGAACCATTTTTCATTTTAGTAATCAAATAATAATAAGTTCCCGATGAACTTTTGAAAGTTACCTCTAAATCTATCCTTATAAATAATTTTTTCTTATAATTAATTTGAAATTTACTTAAGTTCGTAAAATAAATCAAATTTTAACCTGTAAATTTTTGTTGAAAAAGTTATTATTTCATCAAAAAATTGGGGGGTAGTGTTCTTAATAAATCACTATATATACTGGGAGCGGAATAAGTAATGCAACCCTGAGATGTCTAATGATAAAAATAACACTTACAACTTAAAGTATTAATGATATACGATGAGCTGTATGTACATAAAATATGGTTAGGATACAATCGAGACTTAAGATATTTTTGGTGTTCGGAACTAGCGAAGGCGCCGCAACAGTGCCAAATTGCCAAAAGAAAGTAAAAAGAAGTTATTGATGCAAGATTTTCCTATTCGTATAATAATTATCTATGATTTGTTAATAGATGCCGAAATATAGATGAAATAGTCACTATGGTTTAATTTACAATCACAATAAATTTAAGAAATGCAGCAAAATGTAACCATACCATGAAAATATGATTTTAAAAACAATCGATTTTAAGTGATGACATTAATATCTATATTCAATATTACAAAGAATAAAAATGAAGTATTGTTAAAATTATATATATTTTAAATTAATACTTTTTAATTAAGATTTCGCAGTTATAATTTTATTATGTAGTCCATAAATTTGCATACAATATAGTTATAAAAATAAAGCACAAGCAAATTTCATGAAAAAATTTGGTACTTGTTTTTTTTTTGCTTTATTTTTAGTTTAATAGTAATAAATTATTTAAATCGATTAAATATGAAAATACGCTGACACTGCAAGGTTGAAGACATCTAAAAATAAAAAGTATCTACTTGTACACCAAATTTGTTCAGATGCTATTGAAAAATGGGACAAATTGATCATGGTAAATTCAGCTAAGTTACTGAAATTTATAAAATTTGATTTATTATTATCATAAAAATATCAATATAAAAAAATTTTGATTATTGAATAATCGTAATGGAAAGAGTGCTACTGGTTCATAACATTAATATGGTGTACAGTTTATTGTATTTTATATACATCAGTAGAGTTTATTTGTATTCGACATAATAATATTGTAAAATTTACGAAAATTTAAAACTTTTATTTAAGAACCTTAAGTTTACTATATTCTTTATTAAATAATTTTTTTAATTTAATTTTTAATAATTGTGAATAACTTTCATACATATACCATTACAATATATTATTGTATATTATAACAATATAATAATTCCTAAAATTCTTTTCCATATTAATTCAAAAGCATTATTAGTCAAAAATAAATATTTTTTGCATCGATATAACGTCACACGTTACTATCATTAAATTATTTTCAAAGTTACATAAAAACGATTTTATAGATTAACTTTACTAAAATTCTATTTTTTCTATAAATTTCTGTTTTAGAAATTACTTAATAAACAATTTTTATTTAAAAATTCTAACTAATAGCATTATAATGTCATCGTATAAATAAAAGTATCTTTATTTCTGATTGCTTCTAATTTTTTAATTTCTATAATTTGTTGAAAATAAAATAGTATAAAACAAATTTTTTTTTCAATTCAATATGTCACAAACTCATATTTTCCATAATCATTTCAAAAATACACTGACAACAATTCTACTTTTACAATAATCTTGCGCATAAACTGCCACATTACAGTTTATACAATTACAGGCTGTTTGTTTTAATACACTATGATAAACAGCCTAGTTTTATTTGAATCAATTTATTAACAACTATATCTACTACTGTTTTACAGTCATTTTTTTATCTCATACACTATTAAATAAAAGACCGTTTAAAAAATTTATTCTCGAGCACGAATAAATAAACGAGACTCTAAGCAATCATCATTCTACTTTTTTTAAGAAACACACTTATTTTCTTTTTTTCTTATATTTACCTTGTTACTCCTAGTATTTACACTTTTATTGTGAATAAGTGAATTTGGTTTTATAACTAAATTACACGTATGAATATTGTGTTTAGAACTGTATTCAAATGTCTATATATTTAATTAAACCGTATTCAGAATAAAAAAACTCATTGTCACCCATAGGCATTGTGTTAATGTTATTTAATCGAGCACACATTATCCTGTCATCACCAGTGGTACATCAAATAATATTATTATTCGTATCACAAAAACTTAGTATTAGCCTAAACCATAAGTAGTTTTGCCTAACCAAATTAATATTAATTTTGAATGTGTTGAAACTTTCATGGATTGTCATATTATTTGAAAAGCTTGAAGATTTATCCACGTTTGTAGTTGATTGCTGACGTTTCGAACTCATTACAGAGTCCATCTTCGGAGCGATAATTACTGCTCGGTGGCTGAAACTATACTGATAGTTTAGTTTAGTTTAGTTTCAGCCACCGAGCAGTAACTATCGCTCCGAAGATGGATTCTGAATTGAGTTCGAAACGTCAGCAATCAACTGCAAACATGGTTAAATCCTCAAGCTTTTCAAATAATATTAATTTCTCTCAAAAATTTTATCCCACCATCTAATTTTCACATATTAATATTATTATATGGTTTTATTGAAAATCTTGTATTGTTATTTAAGATTCTTTTCAGAATTTTAAGTACAAACTTTGATTATAAATTAAACTGGACAGTATCTTGAAAAAAATTTTCCATTAAAATATATTTATCTATTTATATTGATTATAGAATATTATTAATATTAAAAATAAAATCTCTCATAAAATATACAGGTTGATTTTTTTATAAAACATTTTTTTTTTTTTGGTTTCCTTAGTTACATATCATTTAATATTAGCTATGTAATGGGAACACATATTTTTAATTTAATGAAATGTCTTCTTTTGATAATAACGACACCCATTACAATGTTGTATCTATACAATTGAAAACTTAATTATATTATTAATCAATAACAAGAAATGATAAATTTATTCCATGAATTAGAATATTATTTCGAGTTAATATGTTGTGTATCTACACAGGGGCGGACTTGGGTATGTGGTGGCCCCTGGGCGGAATGCATTGTGGGGGTCCCTTATACATAAACAAGGAAATATATTTTTTTACTTATTAAATAACAATTATTATCATATTTATGATACCAATGTATACCAAATTTGTGGGGGCCCTTGGGCTGCAGCCCACTCAGCCCTTTCCTAAATCCCGCCCTGTATCTAGTAGAGTACTCACAGTGCGATATATTTAACTTCTGTACATATCCGAGAAGCTATTGGTTTTACTCTGCCGTGTTTTACTTTTTTGTATCAATATAAATGATTATGCCGCTCTTACTGGACCAATATTACTCAACTATTCATCAGAAGATCACAAAACTAATCTAGTTGGCTCTAAATATTAACCCTTTCAATTTTTGTAGAAATGTCATATTTTATATTTCAGAGCTATATACATGTGAAATACTTGTATAATACGTATTTTATAAAAAAAAATAGAAATTTTATGATTACAATAANAAAAAAAAATAGAAATTTTATGATTACAATAACAACAGAATTGATCATTTAAGAAGTCAAAAAAGTATACCAAAACTTTTGATAGATGAATTTAATGAAAATATTGTTGCTTAGATATAAGATCAATGGTTACTATTGAAGGTGAAGGTCTTTTGAAACTTGATTAG